TTCTTGGGATTATTCGAGCATGTATTGTGTACCTCCTATAGAAAATCATGGCAACACAGTCTGTTCAAGCTTTTTTTGATGGTTTCTGATGAAATTTAATTTCTAAATAAAACAAAACATATCCTTTTTAATAGTAGTATGGTATAGCCTACAAAATAAAAAAAAAACACAATATAGATTGAAAAACTATTTAAAAAAATAATACATTACTTTAAAACCAAGAGAAGGATGATTAATTTTCAATTACAAAAGAAAAATGTCTTTAAAGCGCCCTTCCTCCTTTTTCATACGGACTGAGGACCGTCAATGGTGGAGTTAACACCAAGATTTGTAAATGTGAGCATGTCAATCAATATAATGAACTCAAGATAAGCTAAGGTAAGTGAACGCAAAATTGTTCGAAGTCAAAAGTTGATAGTTAATAGATAATAAATTTAACTGGTTACATTTTGAATTTATGTTAATTTTAAAACAATTTACTTTTTTTTTAAATTTAAACACTTAAACTACCTAGTTAATCACCACTTTTAAAGATATTACTTAGGTACATATTTACCTAATTTTATGTTATAGCTAATAGATTCCATTTTACTGTACGTGTAATTTATAAATTACACCTAACTTATATAACCAACCATTCATTACTTACAATACCTTATTTACAAAATATAATATAATAATATATATTATGTTTAATGGATACCTGTTGAACATAACAGTTATAATAGGGGAATCATTGTTGAAAAAATATCCTATTTCTACATGTTTGTGTATACTCATTACAAATTTTTAATTAATAGTTATTGTAAAATATTTTCTATCAATAAAAATAAGAATTTATGTGTGTGTAAGAAATTAGTACAACTAAAAGTCATGAGGTAAGTAAATAACATGAGCGTGTAAATGATTACAGTTTATAATTCTTACAAATTATATAAAAATTAAATTATCGTGAAAAGCCAACGCAGGGACACATGGAATGGTAGATTTTAAAGGGTTAAAGCTTGATAATAGGTGAATTCACTCTAATGCCGGCATCCGGCCCCGACCTAATACTAAAAGTACGAGTAGGTACCTAACAACACGTGGTTGGTTCTGCCAAACATAAATTTGCTATGTTGCATGTGGCCGTGTGGGTCAGAGACAGAAAACCAGGCACGTAGCCAGAAAATTTCTACTAGGGGGGCCAATAATGTTTGGCCCTTTTATTACTTTCCATAATTTTTCTTTATGAAATTCTTGTAATGGGTATGCAATACAAAGAATCTTATTAATTTAAATAATTTACCTTTAGTTGGTAATTGGTAAAAATTATTTTTTTCACAACAAGTTATACCTAATACTTACTTATTTAAGAATTACAAAAATAGAAAGTACTTGATAACAAAAAAAAAAAATAAATATAGAATTAGGTACCTACATCTTCACTTATGGGATACATTTTTCATGCTATGAAAAATAAATCTACATACATATTTAAAATAATAAGCTGCTTCAATTGTTTAACTTCTATTAACAAAAATTAATTTATACTTGAATACTTATCAAAAATAATAGAGATAAATGATCATCGATTTTTAAATTAATATATTTCTTAAAGAAACTCAAATTTATTAAAAAAAAAAAAAAAAACACAAACTAGTAGAAAATATTAATAATACACTTATACTTATATAAATATTAAATAGTGTAATGTAAAATAATTTTTCTGTTTTTATGATTTTCTGAAAACAATTGTACAAAAATATCTAGATCTAAGTTTTTAGAATTTTTTTTTCTATGCTCATTGAAGCTAAATTATTTAAACGATCATTTGTCATGCGATTCCTCAGAAAGGTTTTCAGTCGTCTCAGGCATGAAAAAGTTCTTTCGCAAGCTAACTTAGCATAGACTTATAACTGCGGCTAATATATTATTGTTTTTAAAAAGGGTATCAAGACCCTATTATATTGTATTTTTTTCAGATAGTTATCTACGGTTCCCTGAATATAAAAATTAAATTATTATAATAATAATTGTATTACCAAATAGTACCTAATCACAATAGATTTCTCTCAATGTGCATAATCACATTTTTGATAATTGGTAAAAATAATTATATTTAGAATTTGGGGGGGCCGGCCCTGGGCCAGAGTATATTTAGGGTGGGCCCGGCCCACCCAGGCCCCCCCTGGCTACGTGCTTGCAGAAAACAATTAATGATGTGCTGTGAATGATTCTCTTAAGTTGGTATTTCAGGACATGAGTTTTTTTGCTAATAATTAAGAATGAATGGAGAAATTAAAACAAATTAATCAATTTGAATGTTTAACTTTTATTTTTTAATATTAGTAGGTAACCCTGTAAAAGTAATTTATAGTTTATACTACGGTCTACTAATAATTATATCTTTATATCATTATATCTTCAAGTTTTTCTTGTTGAATGTCTTTGAGACATTTTTTTGAACGACTTTAAATCGAAAATATTAATGTAAAAAATATATAAAAGCTACTACTTATCAATAGCAAACAAAACCAACTAAATATTATATAATTACTAGTGTTGGCCAACGATATCGATAATTCGATACGATATTGATATCGTAGGTTTTTTCTTAATAATTTTGATATCGATATCTAAAAATAATTATCGAAAATATCCAATATCGGTGTGATTAATCGGGGCTAAGAATTTTGCGGTTTTACGGATGATTAAACACTAAACTGAGTAAACAGTATAAAATAAAATAATATTTTATTATATCTGTAAAAGTAGATTAACGTAGATTAACGTAGATTATGATACGAGGCGATATTAATATGTTCCAAAGAAATAACTCACCACACCAAACAATTTAATCTAAATTCAGTACCGGTTGTTAACTCGCGGTGAGACGTCGTGTTTTTTTTCGTAATTATTCCTACGATGAAACAACTTGAAGAGTATAAAAATTTGAAAATCAAATTTCCCTACGATCAAGATCCTTTAAATTGGTGGAAAGAAAACGAATCTAAATACTCACCTGTTTCATTACTAGCCAAAAACTACTTAAGTATAGTGGCCACTAGTGTAATATATAAATAATACAAGTCTTGTTAATAATAAAAAGGTAAAAAGGGACTTCCAATATGAGTATAAGTACTTGGGTGTGGCACATATAATGCAATTAAATCGGCCACATATAAACGATTAATATTATAATATAATTCTCATATAAGTAGATCACATAAAATATAATAAGACGTTGTGCAACAACAATTAAATACACAGCACATTACAATAATTGAACCCCATCATCTAAAACATGATGACACAACAATTAATATGTACACCAAAATCAATCACATAATATAAAAATAATTGAATAATCACATCCCGAATTATACAGGTAATGATGTAACAACAATTAGAATATACATCAAAATCTCCCCAAATTATATAAAACACACACACACATACATATAGGATAGAATAGTTCACAAGACGCATCCATACACACCGTAATAAAACAATACGAATACACTACAAAGAATAGTTACACCCTATACACGGATAGTGATGCTGCGACATGCGACGACAATTATGATACGCTCATATAAGTAACGCCCACACCAAAGACACAACAGCAGACAGATCAGAGACGGCGTTCAAGGAGCGGAGCGAAGAGAAGAGGATTGACCAATGTCGCAGTGTCATCATATAGCCACATAGCCGCAATACCATTTTTTCTACGCCACACATATACACATAAATCATTTTTTCATCTATTCACCAAGTTTTAACTTAACTTATATTTTAAACTCGCGTCTCACAAATATCCAAACACCTAAGTGCTAACTCATATTGTTACGTTCATATTTTTACATTTATAACTGAATCAAATACGTGTTAACTCTATTAAATTCCTTTCCATATTATTCTTATTTCCAACATAAAAAAAAAATCCATACTTCAATTCAACCTAAAATCATCAATAAAAGAGGTAATAAATAACGTGCATCTAATCCACAACTCGAGAGTCACAGAAGACAAGCACATTCATATCCAAACAAGGTAAGTGCACACATATTATGATTAAAGCATGTACTTAAATAATACACACATATACACATAATAACATTTAGTAAAGGGAAATTCTATAAGATAAATTAGAGGCTGAACATATTAAAGATAATCACACCCCACCAAATAAATAAAAACGTAAGATTCATTCTCGTGCCATCGGGCATTACATCTCTCTCTCCAATAATACAGCCCCTAAACCTCTACTCTTATATTTTACCCATTACATATTGGCGCCCAACAGGTAACGTTATTATTACGCTCAAATAAAAAAAAAAATATATATACATGAAATATAAATCCACAATCAATTATTCAATAAATAAATGCAAATTATTTAATTCTATCTCAAATGAACGCAATACAAAACAATCTAATACATCTTACTAACACTCAACAAATAAAAATATTAATATTACTAAAACAAAGCATAAGAATAATAATTACAACAATAGACCTTAAAACAAAAATCACCATAAATACACAATACCACAACATAATTAAACATTTAACAAAACTCGCTGGAAACCAAACCAATATAAACGACACCAGACTACTAAAATTTTTTCAATACTTTATAACAAAACATACAACAAGAGGCTATTTATTTCCACCCACATTTGAAGCTTTATTATTAGAAATTATACAAATATTAGAATACTCTTCAATATCATTTCCCACACAAACAACCGTATAAAAATAAAAACTATATGCCAGACAACGAAAATAACAACACGCCACAAAACGAAAATATAGAACAAGAAGAAATAAATACTCTAACAGTTATAACAAAATCCTGGGATAGCATCATTAAACTAAATCATAACCAAATAAAAATAGAACTCGAAAAAAGAAAATTAAATACTGAAGGAAAAATAACAGAATTAAAATCCAGATTATTTAGATATTTGAAAGGAGAGTGGTTAGACACAGATTTCAGTAAAAACAACAAAATAATGTCAGACAAAACACCATTTTATAAACCAACTAAATTTTCCGGAGCAATTCACGAAAACATTGACTCCTTTATACAAAAATATAACAAAGCCAGCAACATAAATGGATGGTCCGTAGAACAAAAAAAATCTTTTCTACCTATTTATCTTGTAAATACGGCATCAACTTTCTTAGATAATTTTGAAAATAATTACCCGACAAGCAACTGGGACCAAGTAGAGAGAGCCCTACGTTTAGAATTCGAACCAACAGCTCAGAAACACATGTTAAGAACAATGCTCGAAAAACGAAAACAATTACCCGAAGAAACGACCGCCTCATATATAAATGACGCGGAAAACCTATGCAAAAGAATAGATCCCAATATGTCACAATCAGAAATAGCTCATACCATAATGAAAGGACTTAAACCAGAAATTGCCAGATATGTAGGAATATTAGACAATACTAACTTAGAAGACTTAAAGAAAAACATAAGAAAATATGAATCTATAGAATTTATGATTAACGGAAAAACCACGCAATCCAACGATGACATTAGGACACAAATTACAAAAGAACACGTAAATATAATAGAAGAAAATAAAACTAAAAAGCAAATAGACACATTAACGAATCAAATATCGAACTTAGAAACAACAATAAATAACTTAAATCAACAAATTATTAACAATAATAAAAACTTCGGCAAATCCAACAACAATCAATATACAAATCGTCCCGAAATTAACCGTCAATATACGAACCGATTACATCAGGGTCAGGTCAACAGCAATAAAAATAATTATATCCAAAATTCAAATTACGAAAAACGAGACAACCGTCCCAATTATAATAATTCCAATAGATACAACAGCAATCAGGGCAATGATCCACAAGCACGCAACAGCTATCACAACAGAAAACCCAACTTCACTAATTCTGACAAAAGAATTCAATGCGAACATTGTAACTATTATAACCACAACAGCTCAGAATGTAAATGGAAACTGATCTGTACAATATGCGGCAAAAGGTATCATACAGCCGAAACATGTTACTCAAAAAACGTAGACTCCAAATCAAAAAACGAATAAAATGGTCAAATGCACAATCTGGAACACCGCATTACCCTTATGTCCCAGATAATGAAACAAAACAAATCAATAAACCGACAAACCACAACCCACATAAAAAAGATCAAATAAACACCATATTAAATAAAGATAGGAAAGCCAATGCATTATACATAATAGCCGAATTAGATAATGAAGACATTGAAGTAACTATAGATTCCGGGGCGAACATTAATTGCATTCGTCCAGACTTAATAAATACAAAATTAATATGTCCTTCCAATAGATACCAACTATCAGGTCCAGATAAAACACCACTTCAACTGATCGGCACCGCCAACATAGATTTAAAAATTGAGAATAAAATATTCCCGATAAATGTATGCGTAATAAAAAATCTAAGCAGCACTATAATCCTCGGGAATGAATTTTTGACCGTCAATAAAGCCAAAATCGACTACACAAAAAAACTTATAACGCTAAATAAAACCGTTAAAACTAGAATATTAAATAACAACTTCAAACATACCGAAAACCATGTTGATAACATAGAACACAAAAATATTAAACGTAAAAAATCGCGCAATATAATCGAAGACGATATAGACATACTAAATGTCACACCCAAATACTCTATAGCACAAACTATTTCAGCCGACCTCCAACATAATACACATTTATCAAACAGGATAACACAAAAATACGGTAACATGTCCTATATACTCGACAACCTAGAATTAATACCGGGTGAAATAACAACAATTGACACAGACGAAAGAACCATACATTACCTAATATCCAAAGATAAACACGATATAAAAACATCCTACATAGACATTTTTGACAATTTATACAATCTAAAAAATTGTGCATTAACTGAAGGATATGAATACATAGCAATATGCATGGACAACATAACTAACAATGAGCTTCAATGGGACATAATATACGATATGATATTTGAAGTATTTAATGATACGGGAGTACACTTGCTCATATGTAACACGCCCGTCACACATAAAAATCAAAAATCAAAAATCATATCTAATATAAAAAACACATACAACACCATTACAAAAACCAACAATGACACAGAAAGTGAACACCCACAGTATAGCGAAATCTTTTCTAAATACCATATAGGGGAAAACGTACCATCTGACGGAAATTGCGGATTATACGCATTAACAAACGCTATCAATGACAATAAACCAAAAAAAATAGTTACATTGGCCAATATAATGAATCTATTACAATTATCTGAATTACCTAATTATTGGTGGCATGATGACCAATTAAGTAGCATTGCAAATCACTTTGGTTTTGACACATATATTTATTCTGACTCAACCAAAAATGGATATGTATATGGCTCAGGATTTAGACCCCCCATAGTATTATATAATCTAAACAATGGAACACATTGGTGTCCAGGTACACTAATAAAAAATAAATCTAAATCAAATAAAATACCACAGAAAATAATTTACACAAAAAATTACATTTCAATAGAACACATAATAAAAAGATTTAATTTAGAAACACAAATAAACAATAAAACAAATCACAACAAAGAAATTATAAACACAATTATCAGCGATAACAGAGAAGCAATATATGATAATGAGGGAACTCAAATTAACATATCTAAAGACTTAACATTAGAACAACATAATCAAGTAGTACAACTATTAAAACAATTTATACATATATTCTCTACTGATACAGCACACATAAAACCTGCAAAGGTACAACCATGTCAAATCAAACTAAAACCAAACACAAAAGAACCAAAATTCAACCCACCACATAGAGTCTCCCCATCCCAAAGACAAGAACTAAAAACACAATTAGATAAATTAATAACTGCAGACATAGTAAAGCATACTAAATCCAATTTTGCATCTCCTGCATTCCTGGTACGCAAAAAAGAGAAAAACAATTATAGACTCGTCGTATCTTACAAAGAACTCAATAATATAGTAGAATCTGACCAATATCCATTACCTAGAACAACAGACTTATTCCGGAGCTTAGAAAGCTCAAAGTTCTTCACGACAATTGATCTTAACTCAGGATTCTTTCAAATTCCGGTTAGAGAACAAGATCAATATATGTTAGCATTTACTACGGTTCATGGTCTAATGACTTTCACAAGACTACCACAAGGCTTCAAAAATTCAAGTGCAATTTTCCAAAGAGAACTTAACAAAGCTTTTTCAGAATATTTATATAAATCAGTAATCATATTCATAGACGACCTAGCAACTTTCGGATCTGACTTCGAATCTGCATTATACAATTTAAAGAAGGTTTTTGAAATAATAAGTCAATATGGCTTTTCACTAAAAACAGCAAAATGTAATATATTTGCAAATAAAATTGAACTTTTAGGTCACCAAATATCTAGCCAAGGCATTAAACCATTAGCTAAGAACACTATAGCTATAACCAATTTTGAACAACCCAAAACAGCCAAACAAGTTCGCAGCTTTCTAGGACTATGCAGCTACTATAGGCGACTAGTAAAAGATTTCTCACACATAGCTCACCCATTATTTCAATTAACTAAACATGAAAATAATAAATCCATAACATGGACAGATGATCACGAAAATGCATTTAAAAAACTAAAATTGATTTTAACATCTGAACCGGTAATTGCACACTTTTCCGATGACAAAGAGACCTATTTAACTGTCGACGCTAGTATAACTGGTCTTGGCGCTGTTCTCGAACAACCAGACGACACAAATAAACTAAGACCAGTAGGATATGCTTCACGAAAAGTTCTAGAATCAGAAAAAACATACTCATCCACAACTTTAGAGCTTTTAGGACTAGTATTTGGTATAACATATTTTAGAGAATTTCTATGGGGAAGAAAATTTACAGTATTCTCCGACAACATCAGTTTACAATATTATAAGAATTTAAAAATACCATCTGCCAGAATAGCTAGACTAACACTAAAAATATTAGATTTCGATTTCATAATAAAACACAAAGCAGGGAAAGAAAACAAAGTCGCAGATTGTCTATCAAGAGAACACATTATGAACATTATAGACGCTGTAATTTTTAAACACGAATCCCAACTTCATAAACAAGAACACATCATATATAATATAAACGCTAAAAAACCCACAGAAATTAATATAATACAAAGTCAAAATGATGACGAATTTTGCAAAGAAATAATAAAAGCGATAAACAACATACCTACGTCAAATAAATACAAAAGAATATCCAGAAGATATACAATAACAAATCAAATACTATATCTTAAAAGACACATACCTAAACAAAATATAGAAAACGCCATTGTAATACCAAAAAACTTAATTCAAAATATTATAACAGCTCATCATAACCCCCCTCTAGCAGGTCACATGGGTATCACAAAAACAATAAAAGCGATTCAAATAAAATATTATTGGCCAACATTAATAAAAGACGTAACAACTTTCATCAAATCATGTCATGAATGCCAAATAAATAAAAAATCACAAGGTAAACCTGCAGGATGTCTACAACCAATACCATTACCTAAATGTAAACCATTAGACAGAATTACTATTGACTTCTTAGGACCATTACCTAGCAGCAACAACAAAAAATACATACTAGTCTTTACATGCCAAAGCACCAAATACGTCATAGCCAAAGCAACAAAGTGCTCTGACGCTAACACTGTAGCCAAATTTCTTATTCAATATATCACACAATATGGTGTACCACGATACCTTACTTCTGACAGAGGTTTACACTTTAAAAATAAAATAATGAACGAAACCTGTCAAAGCTTTGGAATCAAACAAATATTTTCATCCAGCTATGCACCTCAATCACAAGGCTTCACTGAAAGAATCAATGGAGTAATATGTCAAGCAATAAGACATTATATAAAAGACAACAACCAATCAAGATGGTCATTTTATTTACCATACATAATATTTAGCTACAACAACTCACCACAAATATCGACAAATCACAGCCCATACTACCTATTACACGGTTTCAACGCAAACATAGGCATAGACATACAAATAATACCAGAAAACTTATCTTACGACATAAAAAAATCACTTGAGGAACTAAAACTAGCAAGGGAAAGCATCCCCAATTACATAAAAAAAGCTCAAGAAATACAAAAAATAAATCATGACAAAATACATAAGCTTACCACATATGAACCAAATCAATTAGTCTTGGTTAAATTTCCATTTCAAGAACAAAACAAAACACAAAAACTAGCTCCCAAATACAGAGGCCCATACAAAGTAATTTCAAAAAAGAATGATGTAAATTACATTATAGAACTTACATTAAATAATAAACTAACACAAGATATCATTCATATTAGACGTTTGAAACCATACTTCAAAAGGGACAACACCATTTCATGTGAGGACACGGAATCCACAGAAAATGGTAACGAATAACAATATATATCACACTACTAATATGTATAAGTACAAATATATTTTATACATAACAATCATAAACATAACATATATAATACAACAAACCAAAGGTTTCATAGCGTACGACTGCTCAGGCAGTAAAATGAACATAACATCATTTAACACATTAAATGTAGATTATTGTTCACCCCCCATACCAAACAAAATAGATAAAATACCATTAATCAAATTACTACAAACAACAGAATCAAAACAAATACAATATCAAGCATGCTACATAGTAGCTGACTTCTTAATCACAAAATGCGCTAGCCTTGACGATGCACAAATCGTAAGAAATGGGTACTTTACAGAACTTATACAAATAGGTGCAGCACAATGCGCAGATGCACACTTGCAACGTTCATACACATTTTTTCAAGGCATAACAGCGAACAAAATAAAAATAAACCAAACCATGTACTTTTCGGATGTAATCAAGGGCCAAGTCAACCGAGATGGAGACTGCACTGGAGAAACATTCAGAACAGACAAGTATGAATGGGACAACGTACTAGTACAAGCAAAATATAAAATACTATTATCAGAAGGTAT